ATGTGGCTATACTTGTGATAGTATTACCTTTAAAATAATTAACTCCATTTGAAGAATCTCGTCTTCATAGTAGGTCCCTGCAGTCACATAGGCCATCTGGGAGAGCTTTGGAGGACAGGCTTCCTATAAGGAAAGAAAAGTAAACTTCTCTAACACTTCACCAGGCTTCTCAACTGGCTGCTGGGTGTTTTGCACCAAACAGAGACGATGTGGGAAATGTGGAAAGTCTTGAAAATGTATTGAGATGTGTCAAGTGCAGCACTGCACTTGTCGCAGTGCTGCACGTTTTACTTTAGAATGATTTGGAAAATTAGACCTGACCCCTGCTTACCTCCATCTTTGATGCTATAAAAAGACAGGTTATCCCAATAAGCTGCAGCATATTCTTTTCAATGTTGTTCTGGGTCAACATGAACCGGTCAAAGTAGTCCTGTGCCAGGTAGAACGTCTGCCGGTGAAGAGTATAGGCCTCGCTCACCTGGTAAAACAATTGACATTAGACACAAGAATTTTGTAATTGAACTTGTGAAAAATGCATTTAAAATATTATTAATTATAATTAATAATAAACCAGGCTTGTGCAAAACAACTCAAGAATGATGATGTAAAGAGGTCAAATATGAAATAACTAATTTGGTTGTTTTAGTCTCAGTTTAACAACATTGCCACCATAAAAGAATTTTACACAAGGTTGTATAATCAACAATACCCAGAAATCTGAAAGATAATGTTCTATTTAAAAGCAGATGAATGTTTAACTGTAACAAATATTTTAGGGAGCAAATGTTTTTTAAGAAACCCATTGAAGCATATAAACAATAACTTTGGTAAAAATTTGGAGAGGCAGCTGAAGATGCACCTCAATTAACCAGTCGAGGAGGATTGATCTCATTCTGGGTTGTATTGTGGGGTGCTTCTGCATAAATCTCTTGCTGTGTGTGTAATTCTGCTCCCTGCCGACCATCTTCACCCACACATCTTCAGAAGATCCCCATCTGTAACATGCAGATACACAGAGCTGCAACGATTAGTCACTTCATCAACTGAAAGAAAATTAATTGGCAGCCGGATTGATAAATGATTAATAGTTTAGAATTACAAACATCTGATAGTTACAGTTTCTTAAATGTGAGAATTTGGGTCTTACGTTATAGTAAATACAATATCTTTGGGTTTTGGGTTGTTGGTCACACAACAAGACATTTGGCACCTTGTGCTCTAGGGATATTGTGATCAGACCAGACAAATACTTGAGAAACAAACTGGGAGAATAATTGATAATGAAAATAACCTTTAGTTGCAGCCTTAAAGAGAAACATTTATGTTAAACTGTCTGGCAGATGATTTCATCAGGACATTATTGATAGACAAACCATGGCTAAATTAAAAAATAATAATCACCCAAGATGAGGCAGAGGTGACTGCCAAACCAAGGAATCTCCTGCAGTGGAAACTCCCTTCTCATGAGTCTCTATGAGATTACAAGGCTTGGCGACACCTTCAAGTACCAGCTGGTTCTGAAATGGAAATGAGAAAATATAATAAAACATCTGTTTTTATAAACAAAATCTATGAAGAGCACAAACCTCCTTTGCCTCATGGGTGGTAATCTAGGTTATACGATGACCTGAGTTGGGGTTTTGGGGGAGTAGAGTGTGAAGGGTGATTAAGGGGATCTTAACGTTATTGTATGAGTGATTTTTGTTCTTAGAATTTCTGAAACTACTCTTGGCTCCTAGAGTTACTTAAGATAGTATGTAAAATAGTAATACACCTGTGAAAAAAACAAAAATTTCAATAAAAGAAATTGACATGGGACATACCTTCTCACACTGCAGCTTTGACAGGGGCTGAACCTTTTTTCTGTTGCTGCGCTGAAAAGATAAGTTGTATGTCAGACCATCTAGACAACACTTGTCTTTATAATCATGAATTAAAAGCTATACAGTATCCTCTTAAATTAATAGTTTGCTATTAAAGGACTCTTACCTTTGTTGTGTTGCCTTTCTGCCCTGGAGCATTTTCAGATCTTTTCTGCAGGCGACCACTGCAAAGAAATCAAACTGAACTCAACATGGAGCAGGAGATTTGACAACAGCCCAACAACCAATCAAGATAAGAACAATAATATCAATTCATAATGCAACAAAAGTGGTCATTACCTTCGTCTAGTCATGGCTGTGGCTGCTTCGGTCTGTGAAAAGGAGGAACAAGGAAACAAGGAAGTTCAGCAGCAACAACCAGCTGCCATCTCAACTTGCACAAAACATGCAAAACCAAGCCCGATGAAACAACAACAACAACACACAGTTTCCGGAATATTTATTATAATACGCGCCAACATTATTAATGAGCGCGTAAATTAGCAGTAGTCTGCAGCCATCACCCGCGAAACAAATCGTTGCTGCTAAAAACTTACTGATCTGTGTCGCTTTGTATCACCTCTATAAATAGTTCTGGACTTAAGACCCTGTAGTTGCATGAGACGAAACGACCATGAACAGCATAGAGAGCAGTGAAATCCTCCCAAAAGCTACAACTGATCTGCAGCAACAACACCACAAAGGCCCAAGAAAGACATTTTGTCTCAAGTACCACTGATTGAACAATTTTTGAACTCAACACTAACCAACAGTAACATGATTATTAGTTCTTAAACATTTAATCCGTTGTACTAACGTCAGTTGTAGCAGCTGGTTCAGTCATGATTCAGATGCATAATCATTCATCCCGAAACAGAAACAGAGGGGATTTAGTTTAACGTTAACTTACTCATTTAGCTCAGAAACTCTGCATCCTCACTATTCTTCACTGTCAACCAGCCAACATATACTTGCTTACTACTGATAGCTAACTTTGATGCTAGCTTGCTAAACACAGCCACTCGGACTAAGAGCTCTAAACCGACCGACTTTACCAGAAAAATAACAAACAAACTGCTGCTTTAATTGAAGCACAAGACATCGCACCTGCACACATATTGCTCAGAAAGGATCCAGAACTGTAAAAGGTAAAAATACTGGGCTACAAAGACGTGCTAACTCTACAGAAACAGCTGCAGCTTACCTTCCTCGGTTCCGACCCCAAATCAAACTGCTTTCCAATTGGCGCTGGCGCCAACAAATGTGCGTTAGCTGCACATTGCGCATGTGTATAAATACTCCCAACCCTAATCCATTTAAGCCGAGGTTAAGACCTAAAACATATTTAATTTACAGGTGAGTCGCTAAAATTGTTTTGTATTTATTCCCTTTGCTTTAGTTGTAACTGCCTTAACGCTGCTGGTGTAGCTTTTAACTGTAACACTAAGTTAACTGAACCAGCAACTTAAAAGATAAACTCTCGTTTCTAAGGTGCGGACGCAGTTTAATTAAATCACATGTTTGCTTTAAGTGTTTATAAAGCTTTATAGCAATAGGAAATGTATGTAACTAACATGAATCTTACATTAACGTCGACTTGTCCTTTTATTTTTTCTTCCTGTCAGTTGAATTTTCCAGCCTGCCAGTAGTGGGCGGGGCTACATAACAGGAGAGCCAATAGGAGAGAGAGTTGAGTAGAGCACGTGTTCCTTGTCCAGGATGTAAACAAAGCAGGCAGCTGTCAGAGGGGAGGTCGGACCAGAGCAGCAGTCACACCGCTTTTAAAATGTAATCATGTCACAAGTCATGATAAATGTCTTCCAACTCCTCTACATAAATACATGTACATGTGAAACATCGTATTAATGGTAAACTGTCCGTGAAGTGCACAGTTTGTTAGATGGACAGCATTTATTGTTTCATTATCACTGATCGCAAATAATTTTTGCAAAAAATCTCAAAATAAAACAAGCTTCAAAAGCTTTATACAGTTATTTTTATTACTGATGATGATAATAATAATAATAATAATAATAATAATATACTGCTATTATTAAATATAATAATTATAGTTCTTTCTTTCTTTTCTGGCGTAAAGGTAGTCCAGTTAAAATACAATTGTGGAATCAGCCTTTAAAATATCCACCAAATACCCACTGAAGGGTCCCCCGACATTTTTTCCGAAAAAAGAAATAAAAAATACTGTGGACATGCATGATCTCAGTATAATTTGTGTTTAAATTTCCCTAATGGTTAACATGTTTTAATTTTAAAGCAAACATCAAATGTTATATCATATAGCTTTGCCTAATTGTAGAATATCCTAGAGTATTTATAGTGTGTTGTGTTTGTCTTTTAAATTCAGCCTAATCAGTTTCAAAGACAATATTGAACATTTCGGCTGAAACTTGCACCACAACTAGCTTGAAGTTATGTCGCCGCCCTCTGGGTAAATGTAGTTTTATTTCACCAGGCTCAGTGTAGCTCAGTCAAACTATTTATTTCCCTTACATCCTGTGAATATGATTACATGGCTGTTGACTTGACATCACGTTTTATTTTAATAATAACATTTCTTTGCATGAAAAAACAACAACAGAAACATACTTTAAACCATTAAGCATCATAAGATTAAATTTATTTTATGTAATAAGATTCATACCTACCATACAATTACCACACAAAACATGTGTGTAAGTGCAGTTTAAGTAATTTGGTCATTTCTATATAATTAAAACTATAAATGTTGCACTCTGATCTCAATTTGAGGTTTGTGTAGTGCTGTGCTGTGTACATTATGATATGACTTGAATTAAACATTATTTTTTTAGACGTTTAGTTACTACATATTGTTACTTCACTACACTGCTAAAGTGTCCATGACAGAAGTTTAACTGTAACGTTCATATCAAAGACAGAACGAGGTGTATTATTAGCACTATATGCTTTAGATCTAATAAGAAAATTAATAGACTGGCGCAAGCTTCAGCATCATGAATGTGTTTTTTGTCCTTGTGTGCCAGTGACTTAGTCATGGGCTTCACTTCCTCTATTAATGTAACTGATTGTAAATGGGAAGTTCTGCTGATTGAATATCAAGGGAACAAGACAGGAAGCCACACATTCAGCACACAGGCTCAGTAGATTTTGTTCTCCAGTGCACAGTTTGAGTTTCAACTTCGAACAGAGACAATAGAAGCTGTTTCTCACCTTCTGTCTACAACATGAAGCTGATGAAATGCATTTTAATTGTCCAATTGACTTGTCTTTGTCAAGGTAATGTATACAGTTTAATACATTTATAAACTTGATATTTAAAAGTTATTTAGAAACCGTTGAGAGTTATGCACTTTCACTTTATTGAAAAGGAAAACTATATTTTGAGATGTGTTTACTTCGCAAGGGGTTCTCTCTTAAATCGGATAGTTTAGCCTAAATTGTGTTTAAATTAAATTAAATTTTAAATGGAAATTATAAATGACTGAAACATGTTAAATTATTGTTGTCAGTGAAGGGAAATGGTAGAAGCTGGTTATTGTTTTGTATTTTACAATTTCCTTGCCATAATTTATCTGAAGAAAAGTAAATAACGCTATACACTTTACATGGATAAAGATACACACTGCTGTCAGAGGGATAGAGTATTTTTTGGCAAACTACTGGCAAAGCATTGTGAAGTTTGCTATATCTTATTCAGTGTATTTCAGAAGAAATTCACAAGCGGAAACTATTCATTGGGTAAACAATTTTCTTTATAGAAAATGCCTTGAAGAAAATTCAAATGTCATTTACACAGATGCTGAGGAGCTGACAAGTAATTAAAAAGATGAAAAAAGTTCTGGATTAAAAGTGGAAAATACACATTTGTATGCATGTATTAATAAAGTTAGAGAAAAACGTATTGGTGGTGTGACTCACCATGTTTCACCCACACTACCCTCAATTGACATGCTAATACACGGATATAAGACACTTGGTCAAGCGGTTACTCTTCAAATCGTGTGGTAGATCTTTGATGTGGTGAATTGGTAAGTAGCCTAGCTTGATGCTCATTCTGTTACTGACTTCTTTCTTTTCCAATCTTCATTTCAGCTTTGCAAAACTCCACTCAATCCACCTTAACAGACCCAACTGATGTCCCGTTGAGAGCAAAAGAGGAATTCAACAGTAAGTTAAATATTTTTATTTCATGCAAATTTTTTATTTGGGAAGATTCTCTCTCTCTCTCTCTCTCTCTCTCAGAAACAGGATAAACACTCTTATGCAGAGAAAGTATGAATATTTTTGCTCTTATTCTCACAGGATGTGGGTCGACCTGCTTATGAAACACGTCTTGGTGAATTTTGCAGGTGCAAATCAAACTGAGATAGCAAAGCATTCTCCCACACAGACTCGGGTTTGCTCTGCAAGCCATGTTTCTGTGTGGCTTTGTGCTAAACAGTATACTTGGTAGCACAATGTTGTCCCAGAAACAGTCTCAGTACAATAAATTTACATTCAGAATCATTGTAATCGTATTTACCAAATTAATAAGGGCAAATACAATTATTTCTACTGGAATCTACACAGTAAAACATAGCTGAGAAATGTAATATTGTGTTTGAAATAGCTGGGTCCAGTTACTCATTGCAACCCAAATACTTATGTCTACTTGTAAATATATATCATAAATTATTGTTGTCAGTAAAAGGAAATGGTGGAAGTTTGTATACTCCTTGTAGTTTCTAGTCTAACATTTTAATATTTAATGCCGCTGTTTAGTTAAGTAAGTAATTTACATAATACATTTTACATCACTAAAGAGACACACTGCTACCAGATTATCTTGTATTCAAAATTAAACCAAACGTATAGTAAAGTTGACAGTGTATTTCAAAGGAATACTTCTTTAGGTATCTTTTTTGGTTTGAAGTTTACATGCATCATTCTCATTTAGAAAACCTACTTTTTTCCTTGGATAACTTCAAGTTTAACACATGTTGGGGAGGTAAAAGAAATTTAAAAGATAAAAACACAGCCAGTGGTGCTTAAGATTCAGTTGAAGCCATGGGAAAAATTGGTTCTAAAGGTAGTCAGAGGAAAATGTTATATATTCTGAAAGAAGATAAAAGTAAGTGTTACATGTGGAAGATAATTAATTGATGGTGTGTTCTACTTTCACATGTCAACCACGCTGCTCTGATACACTCGCTTAAACACAAAAGTCTGATGCTTGATCAACTTGATCAGTAGCCTTTATGTGGTTTGATGTGTTTAATGTGGTGTGTTTGGTAGCCTGTGCAGACTTGATGCTGACAGTGTCATTATCAGTGATCATCACTAGTTTACCTGGTCAATATACAAAGTTGTATATGTAATGTGTCAGGTAACATTAAATTTCTTGCCCACAGACGTTCAGCCTACTTGCTAGTTCACCAAGACATGCTGTTTTGATGTTAGCTATAGTAGCAGGAGAGTTGAGTGTATCTCTGGTGTGCCGGCTCCGGGAAACCATCTCGTCATTTCTGCATGCTAGCTTTGCAGCAGCAACAGTGCTAAAGTTTGCTGTCCCACAACCCCACAACCTAGCAACTTTAGTTTCAGTACTTGGCCTTGTCACTCTATCATGGCATTTGTCACTTCTTCCACCTGTAATCCACAGTTGAAAATAATCCCCAGTAATTGCTGTTTCCTCCTGTTTGAGTAACGTTTCCTATTTTTCCTCCTTTTCCTCCTTTTCAATGGCCGATGCCTATATGTAGAGAGCAGTGCGACTGATGGGCGATTTATAATGCCAATATCAAAACAAAGAAAAGCTATATATAATTACATGTTATCTTAGCCAGTAGCATGTTGTTTTAGGATTATTTTTATTAATTAATGAAATAGAAAAATGCATTGGGTAATGATGTGGATTTCAGAACATGACTAGAGTTTAAGGTTGACTGGGGTACAGTTTGTCAGAAGTGACGTCATTCAACTGCACTGTTCTCTACTGTATAATATAATATATTTTACACTCAGCATTAATGGTTTTACGTTAGATTTGCTGTCATTTAGGATGATATATCTGCATCGTCAGTGCAGGTATTGGCCGATGCCAATTATCTTAAAATGCCAGATATTGGCCCGATTAACCGGTACATCTTGGTTGGAGTGCCACAGACAGGGGAGGTAAATCAGAAAGTACTGAGAAACTAGAAATCACCACCCTTATCCTTTAATGTTTTGTCATATAGCTTAGAGTACCAACTGAACATTTCTAGCACGCACATTTGTAACTTTAATTGCCAGCTACATGTAAGACATTTTCTTTGAAAAATGAGACCTACTGAAAGCACTAGATAATTCATCACAATATACAGTGTCTTCATCATCAGCTAATTTAAAACATGCTATATATGCATTGTGCATTAGCAATAAACAGTGATAACATTCATTTATGAACCAGAATTGATACCTGCGTTTGGGTTTTACCAGAAAAATCATCACATAAATCATTTTGTGTTTCCATCTCTGTGTGTCCTCAGATGAACCTTACATTAACAAACTCTCTTGTGAATGCAACTTCACGCTCAAGATGCCTGGAAACAGGAGCAGTGAGGTGCCATTAACAGCAAACTCTGCAGATACGTTGGTTGAGCAGATCTGTCACGGACTTGGCTGTGGTAGCACCTATCATGTCAACTATACAACCAGCTCACTTCCCAATACCAGCTGCTTTCACGATTGTTCGTACCACGATGGTCGTTTGCAGAACTGTTCAGAGAGTGTGGGTGGGAACTGCACTGTGATTGAGAAAGTTGTTTGTGGTAAGTGCTTTCTCTTTTATAGCTACACAAAAAGCAGTTTGTTTTTCTCTGACAAAATTACTGATTTGAAGATTTTAAATGATGTTTCTCCTTTATTGTCAAATTACTGTACATAATATTGAACCAATGAACTATTTTCCAGGCTATCCCTGCCCTTCATCATAAGCAATGTTATAAGTTGACAGCATTATAATGTCATCCTTAGGAAACCAGGCTGTGCAGCTGGCAGGAGGAACTGGCCGCTGTGATGGACGGGTGGAGGTGTGGAGAAATGGGAGATGGGGAACAGTGTGTGACGACCAGTGGGACCTGCGGGATGCTGACGTGGTTTGCGCCCAGCTCGGCTGTGGTTATGCCATCAGTGTGACAGGACAGGGAGGCTTCTTCCCCCCCGGCAGAGGACCTGTCTACCTGGATGAGCTGAACTGTACGGGCAAAGAGGATAACCTGTGGGCCTGTCCTGCTGCAGAGGACGAGCCAGACTGTGGACACAAAGAAGATGCTGGTGTCGTGTGCTCAGGTCGGAGTCCAAAAAACATGCTCAAACATACAGAAAATAACAAATTTGAAATATAAATGCAAAAAACAAAATGAGAAAGGTAAGGCTTAAAATTAATTAGCTTTAATTAGCTCAGAGTGGTTGACAGCCCACAGTGGGATATATATATAATAAATAATATGCCATATATATATATATATATATATATATGGCATATTATTTTGTTTAAAGTAACACTACTACTACTACTACTGTACTTACTTAGGCAGAGTGGTGCTTTGAACTAAATGCTAACAAGCTTAGATTGACAATGTTAGCATGCTGATGTTTAGCAGGTGTAATGCTTGCCAAGTAAACCATCTTAGTTTATGGTTAGCTTTCTAAGAATAGGCAATTAGCACTTAACACAATACAATACAGCCTGATGTCTATAGTTTTGCAGCTATTTGGTCATAAAATCATTCATCCTCTGGGGATCATCATTGTTAGGATGTTTTAAGGCCTTCCATCCAATAGTTGTGAAGATATTTCCATCTGGAACAAAGTTGTGCCCACCAATGCACAACACAATGTGGAGGAAAAATACTAAACACGATATTTATTTATTTAAGTTCACTAAAATGTAGTCCAACTTACTAACTGCCCCCCTGTCCTCATTTTTCAATTAGGGAATACTTTACTTAACATTAATCTACTGCAAATAATGTTATATTTATTTTTCCTATAGTAGTTTCATAGTGTGTATTTTATGTGTGATAGAAATGAAAGCAGTCAGACTGACTGGAGGTCTGGACCGCTGCTCTGGTAAAGTCGAAATCCACCGTAATGGCAGCTGGGGCACGGTGTGTGATAACTGCTGGAATCAACAGATGGCCTCCATGGTGTGCTCCATGCTGCAGTGTGGTGCCAAAGCAGAGAAATACACCCAGTTTGTTCCCCCTCTCACCCACAACAACGGGACACTGTGGTACTATAAATGCACGGAAAACGAGCAGAATCTGTGGGAGTGCAGGGAGATCATCAACAAAATACACCTGTGTATATCTTCAAAAGCATCTGGTGTCATCTGTAATGGTGGGTTGAATTGGCTTTGTATAAGGTAATAAATCCTGGTGACTTGACACAGTAAAACAAGAGAAACAACATCAGGTTTCGGTGAAATATTAAGAACATCATATTTTACTTTTATACTTGGTATTCTGCTCATCTAATACTGATAATTTTTGTTGTTTTTTTTGTAGCTATATTTTTTATTTTTTATCTTTATTTGTCAATACAGGTGACACATTTTTCATAGTGTTTCTTAACACAAATAGCCAGTAATTTACAGGAGCCCTTTAAATTATGCTTTGTTTATTTTTTTTTATCATACTGTAGCTACTGTGTATGAGATAGTTAACTGCTTTAAAAAAGGGAAAAACTCTGTTGTAGTTTAGTACTGGACCAGCATTAGGTGCTCAGTTTTAATCTGCTGAAAACTTAAACTAACATACAAATGTTTGCACTTTCAGGTGATAGTGTTCACTTTCCATTAAGTAATAACCAAGGCCCCAGCTAATATATAAAGTCATTGTAGTTGTGTCCTAAATAATGATTTCCTTTTGATTGGATGAAATAGCTTTTTTTAAAACGCACACTCACATGCTGTAATTCCCTTTAAAGTTATATAGATTTAAGTCATGAATGATAGTTGTCAGAGAAAAGTTTTTTTCATGTTTAAGCAGCTTTCTTAAAAAAAAAAATGAAGCTTTAAATTTCAACATTTTATTCCCAACCTCATTCTTACTGTATTAGCTGGCTTGCTTTTTTAAAAATGTATTTAAAGAATCATTTAATTATAGTAGAAAAATAAAATGAAGGTTTAGTTCATTCTGCTTTTAGATAAACCAAGTGAAAATGTGATTCTTTAATTTCTTTCTCTTCATTCTTCAGCTTACATCCAGACTGTGTTGAACTTAAAAAGATTGTATTTTTGTCTTGCAGGTTCCCTTGGGTTTCCTATACCCACCACAGCCACCCCAGCTAATGCAACTGTAATAACCAGTTGGACTGGTAAATATTTAATTTGTTTATAAAAACATATATCACATTATGTTTATTAATGTTACTTTAGTTATTTATAACAGAAGATGTTTCACTATGTTTTAAAAGTTACAGGAAGAATTAGAAACATGTGAGTCTTGAAAAAACAACCAGAAAAGATGAAGATGATGTGTAGCTTTTCTCTCTGTCCATCCCAGAAGGTACAGCTGCAGTCATTCCCACTGAAGGCTTCTCCTTACCGTCTGCAGAGCTTCTCATAACCATGGCTCTGTGTCTTCTGCTCCTCGTTCTTCTGATCACAAACACGGTGCTCTGCTTCCACTACAGAAGAAGACACGGTTGGTTCTCCTCACTTCAGTCTGTTAAGGTGTAGCGCTACACTTACTTTAATCTGAAGAATAAGGGGTCGTCAAGAGCTGTGAACCTAATCAGGAAAATCTTACCTTCTGATTTTATGTGGCTTCAGTTCAAGATTCCTTCACTTGTGACAATCGTGCTCTTCACAATAGGCATGAGATTAAAGAAAATGAAAAATAGGTCATGCAACTTTTCTTCAGTATACTTTTGATGTTATTTTAGCAAAAAAAAATTGCCTTCATTTCCTTCATCGGGGGTGGTAGAGGATATTTAACTTTATCAGCCTCTAACCTCCTTAGTAGTTAAACCTAAATTAAAAAAAAGAAATATACATATATTCCTGAATTCTGGATTTTCCAATGAGGGAGAAGACTTGTAGATGTAGTTTAACTTTTTTGTCAAAAAACCAAACATATCAGACACAAATTATTATTCAAAGCAGAGTATTTTTATGTCTTAAATGTTGTTTGAGAGGATATTTAATCTCAAAAACAAACTACATATCAACAACGTCTCCATCCCCTGAAAATATTTTAACTGTATTCCAGTTTTTAATCCTAATTTATAATAAATAAAAAACAATCCTTTAACAAATCTTTCTATTAGAAACACTGCAAGTTTACAATGCTTAGACATTTCTTATGTCCACAGCACTCTTGCTCCAGCAGACGCGCAGCAGCACACGACCTCCCTCTGAAAATCAACACAACAGCTGCCAAGAGGCTGTCAACCTCATCAAGATCACCCCCAACCCACCACAGGCAGATGGTCAGTGGCTTAACATTTCATATGATAAATAAAAAACTGAACGTGTGAGCTGAATTTAATACCTTCCAATCTTCCAAAAAGTTAAAATTTTTTATTTATACCCTTCTTTCTATATGTATAATTTGTATGTGTGTGTGTGTGTGTGTGTGTGTGTGTGTGTGTATATATATATATATATATATATATATATATATATATATATATATATATATATAACTAATCTATCACCTAATCACCAATTCCTTACATTGTTTTGTGTTTGTCTCAAAAAGTCCCCTCCAATCCCAGGTTTCTTTGGACCCAGCTTAGTAGTGTTGACAGCACATCAGTAGATACAGACTATGAGCAGTATGAGCCAAGCAATGATCCGTCTGTCCCTTTGTCAACCTTTCGGAGTGAGCTACGTTCTTTTATTTCCTTTCCATTTGTATTTGTTCATGTGTGTTTCTCAAATTTTGCTTCTTATGATGTTCTCTCTCTGCATTGCTGCAGTTTGCGGTCGAAGCCTGTGTGTGTGTGTGTAGTCTGTGCAGATCAATGCTGTTTGCACTGAATGTTTGCAGGATGGTTTATGATTAAAACTTTGCTTCATGTGCATCATTTTGTATCCAGATTCTCACCGTTACAAAACAGACAGACTTGAAAGCCTCTTTGAGGAAGGTGAGTCACCGTTCATTTGCAAAGATGTCACAAAGACAAAGATGTTACACTTTGTAGATCTGAAAAACACACAATAATATTTCTTCTGTACAGTATTGCTCTTCCTAGTAATTATCAGAGGGTAGAGGATGGCACAAACATTGATGAGTTTCAATCACTGCTGTAACCCTTTGAACACATTCATCACTGTGTAGTAGGATTGTATGGATACATAAATGTTTTAACCAAATATCATTGATTTTTTAGTTACATTTAACCTTTATTTAACAATGAAATATTTTGTGTGACATTGATTTGTTTTGTTACTTGTCCTAATATTTACACACACAAAAACAAATTAATAATAATATAATAATAATAATCTTTATTTGTAGAGCACTTTTCAAAAGCAAGTTACAAAGTGCTTTAACAAGTGTAAAGACAATAATACCCAAGAGACAACAGTAGTAGTAACAGTAGTATTGTAGTAGTGGTAGTAGTAGTAGTGGTAGTAGTAATAGATTCTCACATTACCTTGTGAGCTGTTCCTAATTCTGTCCCCCACATATTGAAAGGATTACATCTGACTGAGTTTAGACTATGCCTAATAATATACTGTACCTGTTACTTATGGTCTCTAGTTTACTCAAACACCTGTAAATATTTTGATAGTTGGCTATTTAGGTTTTTATAAACATGTCCTGCTGCTAGATACTGAACCTTGTATTTTAATGATTTAAAATTTCCTATAATTAAATGGGTTCTTTTAACTGTAATAAAATGCCTTATTTTGTTTTAGAAATACCTTTTTAGAATGACCTGCACAGTGAAGTTTTGACTGTATTATAACAATACATAACATTTCTTGTAACCAACATTAAAAAAACAACAAAATATTTGTTTAATATTATATTCTGATTTTTCAGGCCCTCAACCCAAAGATGAAGTGACGGGAGCCTTTTCACACTATACTGGTGGCCCCACAGATCCTCAATATGCCAGAGTGTCAAAGATCTCAGTGGACTCATTTGATACCTCCAGTACTTCCTCTGGGGAATGCTACGAAAACACAAACGGCTATGTCAGGGTCACTCCCGGTCAGTCAAATTCATTCACCTGCTTCCTTTCAGCCAGTACCATGTTGTTAAGTTACCGTAAAAATGGGACTGTACAAAAATGGTTAATTAATCATCAGAACCAAGAGAATAATTTGCAGCTCTTTAATTACATTTATACAGTGGCTGAAACATCTTTGATATGTTTATCAGTTTTATTCCACTTCTAATGTGTGTATTGTTGGTTGTTTTAAACAGTATTTTTCTGTTATAATTTTAAAGGAAAAGGTCAACATATTTGGAAATACGCTTATTTGCTTTCTTGTGATGATGAGTTAGTCAACACAACTATTACTGTACGGTATCTATAAAGCCACAGCCAGCGGACGTGTTTGTTAACTGTGGACAGCTGTTTACTATATAAATCTATTTTTGTATTGTTATGTATTTTTGTTTAGTCATTGGACAGGGACATTGATCAAAGTAATAAAGACATATATACGTCATTATTTATATAGCCCGCACACCCAAAAGCAAACAAACAACCCAACAGCACACAATAATTTGCTTTTCCATGATGGCCATTTACCTGAAGATGACACTCTCGGAGTATAAGCTAAATAAGCAAACTACCTGCTACCTGTAGCTTCATATTTGCTGTACAGAGACATGAGAGTGGTCTTCTCATGTAACTCTCTGCAAGAAAGTGTATAAGTGTATGTTCCCAATATGCTAAACTATTTAGATTTGAATTATATTCCACCATCATAAATTCCTTTCACTTTTAGTTAAAAGCAGTAATATTGTATTGGTTTTATATATTATTTCAGTAATATTAATAAGTTGTACCAATACTGTATCATTGTAAGATTTTGGTTGAGGGTGTTGCAGTTTTTTATTTTTTTTTTTCCAGAGAAAATTCTAACAATGCTGGGGAGGGTGTAGCTTTTTGATTATATTACTCATCCTGCCTCCTCATCCTAATCATCATAATCTGTGGGTGTTTGCAGTAAGATAAACACACTTCTGACTGGAAGCTGTGTTTCACTTCTTCAGGCAGAATGTGAAAGACAAAACCAGTCTCAAAAAGCTCTCAATAGAGATATGAAAACTCAACACATGACCTGTGTTCTCACAAATTACAGAGCCAGGAGCTGGCCAGTCATCTGTTGTCAGTTATACTTTCGATCCTTCAAAAGTCTACAGCGGTGATCAACTTTACCCGGGAAAAACAGTAGACCTGCACAGTACAAGTAAATATCCCTAAACTCAGCAACAAATGTTACACTTTAGAAAAACTTTGATCCATAACATTCCCTGATCTTTGTTACTGTCTGATCATTAGATGATGAAGATGACGGCCCCATCTACTCCCCTGTGAGCCCTGACCAAAACTCTTCATTTGAGGATGACTACGATGACATCGGCGCCTAATAGCAAACCAAGGAGGTAACTCCGAGACTGTGCAAAACTGCGCTGAAAGGAACTATGTACTTTAAGAACAAACACCTGTTTAGACTGAGAAAACCCAGTAAGCAGTAATTTGGTGATTTGCAGGCATTGTTTAAAAATGCTGGTTGCATATAACCATTGTTTCAACAGCATTTGAATGTCTAATTTTCATTGTGTACAGTATTAGAACCTCCTTAATATTGAAATTCTAGACCAATTTTGACCTAGACTCAAACTGTTTCCTGGGAAAACCAATAATATAAGTTTAATGTACAGTTGTTGAGACTTGGAATGTGATTGACCCATTGCATCACAATGAACAAATTGTTTTTCTTTTTCCCAGCTGTGAGCACAAACTGTTCTGAAAACACTGTGATGGTGCATTTAATGATGCATCTGACATTCAGAGGGCATTGACAGCCGACTATGCGACGCACTCTGGGGACAAATGACAAGCACATTTGGATGTTATGAAAAGGACAATGTGTGATTTTCCTCTTGTTTTGCATTGAAAAGTTACAGCTCACTCTGAAGTTTTTCATGTCCAAGCATCTTAGAACTGGACTTTTCTAAACAGTCCCTGCTTTCAGCTGCATGAAAATGTAATTTTAATTAAGCAAAAGGTATGATGAAATATTCACTGTGATGGATTAGCTATTTAAAATAAGTTAATTCAAATGAATTAAAACTAATGACTGCCTGTAAGGTAGGAAAACAAACTTTGACATAAAGGTATGTTTAGGTTATATGTGAATGTAGTAGATGCACCTGTATCATATGTACAGTATGTTTTAGATTTTTAATATTTAACTGTCTTTTCATAGCAGTTTTCTGTATTAACGAGTATGTAGTCAAATAATGTGCTAATATTTGCTAGTATTTTCCTGTGAATGTAAGTACGATCAAACTATTGAGTTTCAACATAATCTCTATAATTGTGATGTGCACTACATGGCCAAAAGTATATGGACACACAAACATTACACCCATTTGTGATTGTTGAACATGTCAATCTAAAACTGTGGGCAGTAATTAATTACTTTAAAAGCTTCCAATCTTGTAGGAAAACTTTCCACAGGATTTTGCAACCTGGGTGCGGAAATCTGCTGGGAAAACCTCACAGTGTGCACAGGGCCATTGTTGAAACAGGAGAAAGCCTTCTTCAAACTGCCACGAAGTTGGAAGCACACTCTTATCTATGGATGCTCAGGCCTAATCATATTAACAACACCAGACCAATGGTACACCTCCTTATACTTCTGGCCATATAGTGTATTCAAATAATGTGCTAATGTTTGCAACACAGTCTCTGGTGGGTATTTTAAGTGTAATCAAACTAGTTCTACCACAAGGTGGCACTACAAGCTTGTATGTAACTAAATGTTTAAGTGACTGACTGGGGTGAAGCCCTTAAATGTAAACTACAGAAAATAAAACTTGTAATACCATAAAATATTTGCCAAATAAAACGCTTATCAGGCTGTAACACTTTGAGACAAATACCCATTCATGCCGAGCGAAGGAGAAGTCAAAATAATGCACTGTGAAACAGTTTGAGAAGGGAACTCTAGATCCTGATCGGGAGCCAACATAAACCATCAGTTCAGTCTGAAACCAGACCTGGCACGGCTTTTCTTGGTCCATTACATCTGCAGCAGCTGCAGAGCATCAACGCTTCCTCCTGATCCAAAGTGATGCCTCAAATCCAAAGCGATGTCTTGTTATGTAGAGGTAAATGTGACAAACTGCCTCAAAGCACCTGTCAGACATTTAATAGGGTGTAGCAGTGGTGAATGCACGGATAAACATGGATTAGCTTCACCTCAGCTAACGTGAGAAATGGGAGTGATGATGCATTAGACTGATAACCAGCAGAATTGGGTGTTTTTTGACTGGAAGGTATTTGCCAAGGAAGAGGAGGAGGGTGAGTGTGTGTTGGGGTGTGCGGAGGCGAGAGGAGTGGGGAGGATGTTGGGGTGAAGATGAGGAAAAAAGGAGGAGGAGGTAGACGCAGAAGTCGGGGAAAGATAAAACGTGTCTGAGAGAATCATATATTCCACTCAAATTTAGTCCAGAGCTCTGCATCGAGATAAACCGGTGAATTAACGACCAGATCTCCTTATGAAACTCAATCTCTTTCACATGCCAGAGAATCCAGTACCCTCACACACACGCCAACCCACACACCACTTAACAGAGATTCCATCTAAAAGTATGCAGTTTGATATATTACAGGTCCTCCTTGAATAGTTTGCTTTTGTTTTATTCTGCTCTGAAAGATTGATAAGTCAGAATCTTAAAATCTGTAGATTTACAGCTCTGATTAACATCAAGGGAAAGAAATGTAGTAGACCTACACTAGTATTTCAAGTAGCTTGTAGTATTTGAGGGATTAGAAGATCAACCCTCTGTTTTTACTTTGTTCATTAAATCACTTGCACACAAAGGATTACAGCTCCTTAAGTCCGTAAGTTCCTAAAAGTGTCCCAACAGCTGATCTTGCCAGAGTTTAAACTTTTGAACTCTGTTTTTTGCAGGAGGACTGGAGATGACCGTACCTGCCTTTAAACAATATGTAAGCACATACTAGAACCTGACATTACAGCTGCTGCAGTTTGAGGTTTCTCATCCTCCCATGAAATGTAATGTAAAGAATATTACAACAACAAGAGTTTGGCCAACTAGTTTTTTGCCCTTTTAGCATGAAAATGTGTTGACTATATGCCTTATACAAATTTTTGTCTGTGATAAAATATGGTTAAGTCCCATGCTCTGAATGCATCTTGTTTAGTTGTCATTTCATTACCTTATTACAGACTTTTGGTCATGTGATAACAGATGGTTTAATATGGGCAATTATACATGGCTAAAAGCTCCAGAAATAGCAAGTAAGTCAGGAATATTATATTCCAATATGCATTCCCAGGATAAACAATGAACCTCCATGACCAAATATTAATATATACATTGTTTATCTATGAGATAAAAAGTGTGGCTTGCAGTGATGAACTTACAGGGAACTCTGCTGCTCAGCTTTTTAGCGTCTTTTAGCTCATTGTTTTGGTTTCATGACACATTTACTGTTTGGTTCAGTCTCATCAAACCCATTTAAAACTTTAGTATGCAGCTGTTTCTCCAAACAACCTCTCATAAACCCACTGTACACTATCAGTCCTGTTCCAAACAGCCAATGAAAGCTGGTGAACATAGCGGAGCATTTTAGCAACTAAAGAGCTAATGCTAGATATTTCCCTGAGGATTTGGTGGAGAGAGCAAAGAAGAGCAAAAAAGGAAAGTGAATATCAGACTTACATTCATCAGGTTGCAAGAAACACAACTCCAAATTTATGATAGTGTTGCTATGTAGCTGCTGGATGTGTACTTAAGTATTTTATCCTAGCAAATTTGCAATAGCATCTTTATAGAAGCTGAAGTCAGCGCTAGCTTCTGTTCCATTATCTTACTAACTCAATAAGATCTCCTTAAGTTTACTGACCACAGGTCAGATTCACATGACATACTGTTGAGAAAGACTCTGTTCCAAGGCTGGATTTTTAGTGTCATTGCAAATGTCAGTGGGATTTTACATCTGGAATAAGGTGATAATATTGTGATGTGGGCATAGACTGTATAGGTTGTGGGTCTTTCACCTTGTGCTGAGTTGTTAGTGGCACTTTCTGGCTTTATTGTGATTTGAGGCGAAGCCCACATATCTAATCTTCTTATTATGAGTTTTCTTTTAAGAATAAGAATGCGCTTTCACCTACATAAAGCAACTGTGATTCTGTTAATAAACTTTATTTTGTATCTATGTCCCATTTGTGTACAGCTCGAAACAAACAAGCATCACATTATTGACTTTTACTGAAGTGCTGTTTTCAGTCTCACAACCATTAGCTCTCTGGATCATTACAAATATGTCAAACCAGGTTTTATGTACTATTACAACAATAACAACTATAATTAGTATATAGTAGTGTCTTACTTCACTGTGACTTTGTTGGTTTTGCTCTTGACTTGGCCTTTGTATTGGCACTGCTCTTTGATTGCCAGGGACATGTTGCAGGATGGACTGCAGCCAGTGAAATGCAGTGAGGTCATCAGTTTAGGTAGAGCCCCAGATGGTTACCGACCCGGGTGAAAAATCCACTTCAGCTTATTAATCAAAGCCTGTTTTCCTTCGGCCTAGCAATGGCAAAGATTTATACTAAAGCCATTAAATTCACTAGTATTCCACTCTCCTGATTAGTCACTCTCACAGTGAATCAGCCTGTAGTTTGGCTATAAACGACATTACAGCCTGCTGGGCTGAAGCTTGGGTGCACTTGCGAGGCCCGGTAATAGTGTTGATTACTCCTTACTCATTAGGTTGCTTTCACTGCCGCCGCTAAGCCCTCATCAGGAGGTTTTTGGCTGAGTGGCCTGGCCGGGGCCCTGATCCAATTCACCTTTAAAGTTCAGTGGACCTGTCTGGGTTGACACGGGTCAGTGAATCGCTCTCCATGCTGTGCACTCCCAGAGAGGCCCTCATTACCTCATTTCCTGTTACTACTGTACCAGACAAGCATTTGAATCTCATGGTTTGGTTGTGTGAAGTTTGCAGTGTCTGTCACAGATGGTATATAAAAACTCTGGAATAAAACACTTGTTGATGTTTATGTCTTGAGAAGATGGATCCCGATAATCTGTCATAATTAGCAGTTTCTGTGGTGGCCCTGAGGTGCACATTTCTAAAAACAAAACATTTCAGAAAACAAATCAACATTTTTGAAAACACAACATAATTTCAAAGAACACACTGAAAAATGAGAAAAGGAAACATTTTTGAAAACACAACATTTCTGAAAACATGAACACTCAAAACCGGAAAAGGTTCCTGTTTGTGAAGGACAGAGTCAAAGTCAAATATGAATTCTTCCATAAAGTATTGCTGACCAAAACTTTTCATTTCAACCATTTTCTTCTCACTTTAAAATGTTGACCCAGTTTGGATTTATATTGCTATGTAGTGTTAGTTTTCACTTGGGTTATTTATCCAGTTTAAAATAGGATAATTTTGACAGTGTAGTGTGTTAATAGTTATACAAAACTAAGTGCATCTAACATTCAAAACTGTAAAACGATCCCTAATAACAAGTAAAACACAAATAGTGACATGTTAGTTTAAAAAACTAGAGTAGATTAACAGTGCGCAACCACCCCATTAAAAAAAAAACACACCTGGGGGTTGGGTGGTTTTCAGGCAATGGGTATGGGGTAAAGTTAATAATTGTGTTGGTGCTAAATTGACCCAAACTGGTGAAACTTTGATCCAGTGATTTTTAGTACTGTGAAACTTTGTTGTGCTTTCAGTGTTATTGTTGTGTTTTGCACCTCAGGGCCACCATACATTTCTCATAACACAGCACATTTATTAGTCTGTATAAAGAAATGAATCCCAACTTGAAAGCTGGCCTGGCAGTGCAGCGTTTAGCTCGTTAACCTTTTTTCTTCTTAGCACCTCACTGCAGTTAACAGTTTGTGGCCTCTTCCCCACCAAGACACATTCATGTAGCTGCCAGTCAGGTCAACGCTGCAATTAAGCTGCTTTAAACTTGTTCAGTGGTGCTTGGAGGCCGTAAAAATACTTCCGTTTGAGTGTCAATGGGAGCTTGTGGCGGTTAACGCTGCATTCATGGGAGAATACATTGTGTCTAGTTAATGTAAGTAGTCTGGTCAGCGGGTCAAAAGGGCAACATGACTGAAGGGTACGAGGATGTGCAGTAGTTTCCAGCTGTTTGAGATAAACACAGCCAGTTTGATCATTAAGGTACAGAGCTCTACGTTTTTTGTTTCTTCTTCACTTGTCCAACATTCAAATTTCTCAAGCAAGCAAGAATTTGTGGACACATTTCCTTGTTTGTCTTCGACCAGATGGACTGACGTTTATGTGTGTGCGGTGCATGTCGGAGAGCAGCATCTCGCTCTGAGTACCAGTCAGACAGGACAGGCGTCATCAATCTTGGTCTCCAATGAATGGCAGATTGGCTGCCATAAACCAGGCCTGATTGCAGTGTGCTGTTCCCTATGGAAGAGTTTTCAGACCAAGGGAGGCATGGAAACAAAAACCCTGCAGATATAAACAATGTGTGTGGGACACTGAGAACTGAGCCACGTTGTAGGATGGCAGACTGTACATGATTGCACCAGTACTGAACAGTAATGATTTATTTATTCATTGTTCTTGGCAATCAAACTTAAAGTATTCCCTGAATCAAGGCTGTAGCTAAGATTCAGACTACATTTATTCATTTAGCTGACGCTTTTATCCAAAGCAACTTACAATTGCTATATATGTCATATGTATATAGGTCGCACGCCTCTGGAGCAACTAGGGGTTAAGTGTCTTGCTCAAGGACACATTGGTCTCTCACAGTGGATTCGAACCCGGGTCTCTCACACCAAAGGGATGTGTCTTATCCACTGCACCATCACCACCCACGCCAG